TCAGACAGAGCTTTGCTTCTACCTTCAGGAGGAAAGGAGAGAATGATTGGATTTTCTTTTTACGGCACTTGCACTGCCACCCCCCTCCCTCCCGCCACAGGCTTCCATTCTGTGAGATTCTTGCTGTTTTCAGTTCCTCTCTCACGGTAGTGTGACACACAGTACTGCAGATCTGCAATTCATAATTATGCAGATGAGAAGTTATTTAGTGAGTGCCTGACAGATCTCTAGAACTCAGACCCCATCTGTACTGTACATTTAACGCAGGGCCAAGTCACTTCAAGTAGTCATGGCTTCCCTCAAAAGGAGCTGTAGTTTGTTACGGGTGCCCAGAGTTGTTAGGAGATCACTATTCCTCTCACAGAGCTACAATTCTCAGAGTTCCCCGGAAAGAGGGTTTGATTGTTAATCTACTCTGGAAATGATAGCCCTAGGAGGGGAATAGGAGTCTCCTAAAAACTTTCAGCCCCAGCGGCCAAATTGGACCACTCTGGCGGCAAAGATTGGTCTGTGAACCAGAGGTTCCTCATCCCTGGGTAGAGGGTTTTGTGCAAAATCATCTTCTGCCCTGTCCGACCTCACTTTGGCTGCTACACAACTAGCACAGTTGTGTAGGCACAACAAATCCCACCCTACAGTCTCTTTCATGCCAGCTGCTAATCTCATGTTCTGCCAGCATGGTAGGTGAAATATGCTCGGAGTCCTGTAGTGATTTCATGCTCTTTATTGCAACTTGTAAAACAGTGATTGAATTCCCCCACCCCCCAACCTCAGGCGTTTACCGTATATACATTATTTACACAATGAGTCCAATCTGATTGGCTGATTCTACTTCCCTCCTGGAGCCTGATTGGTCTTTTCCTGCAAGCCAATCAGTTGTTGCGGTCTATGATCCTACTTGCCTATTGTTCTAGGATTCAAGCTTAGTACATAACAGTAGGGTTTCCACAAAATCTTGAGCCAGCGTCACTGAAGTATAGAAGTACACTCTTAATCAATTAAACAGTTAGATAAAGTTAATCAAACTCCTGTTGTCTCCAATATGCAAAAGATACTTATTTAAATCTCTTATTTTAAATCTCAACAGCTACAAAATGGAACAATGGAACAGGGCACCTTGTGGGGTAAAGTCAGACTTAGAGTTACAGTGACTGCTGTGGACACCAATACAGGAGAGACAAGTTCTGTTGCAGCTGGGGCAGATGAAGGCATTCAGTTGTACTGATGCAAGTATATCTTCTTTCGGTGCTCCTCCCAGCAGTCATTCTGCCTCTGGCCACTCCTGTATATGAACTGACTATCTCTAGATGAACTGACTGACTATCTCTAGGTGCTGTGGTCACCTACAAAAGATTCCCATACAGTGGGGTTAATATTGCTGTCGTTCATGTCATGTTTGTAACGTGGAGTTGGTCTGCCAATGGGCGTGGTGCCTGAAGCCTACCAATGGGAGCCTACCATCTCCCATTCTGTGGACTTGACCAAGGCAGCATAGACATGATCAAGGCAGCATGAGACAGAAGTGCGAACATGCTGGAAGCATGGGCTTGGCAGAGCACATCTTTGTTTGAGATTCTGTGCTGCCATGTGATATCCCAAAATCTTCCTGACGCAGTGCATGTGGAAGGTGTTGAGGCAATGCTCCTGGCGAATATAAGTTACCTATGATTCACTACCATAAGAACAGTGTGCACCACATGCAAGCCTAGGAAACCTTCATCTTGGTATTGGTTGTTCGCATCACATTCTCCCATCCCCTTTTGGAGAGATAAGCCATTGCTGTAGCTGCCTTGACCAGCTCAACATTGATGGAGAGATTGCTGGCTATGGCGGAGTCCAGGTATACAAAATCATCTACCACCTCAAGCATGTGGTCACCAATGCTGACGTCTTGCTGGCGACATCTTGACCCAGGAAGTTGGTCTTCATCAAGCTGATAGTAAGGCAGAACTTGGGGGAAATCGTTGATGAACCCCTGTAAAGCTTCCTCAGAGTGCGCTGCCTAGGCCTCCGTGTTTATAATTTCTATATGGCCACTGATAACTGCTATGTATAAAAAAATAAAATAGTGAGTATGTATAGATGGTATATTACACCAGTGAAATTAGCTAAAATGTATAAAATAAGTAATAAATGTTGGAAATGTAAGGTAAAGGAAGGCACTTTTTATCATCTGTGGTGGGAATGTAAGAAAGTGAAAAGCTTCTGGGAAATGATTTATAATGAGATGAAAAAGATGTTGAAATATACATTTATAAAAAAACAACCCAGAAACATTTTTACTTGGTATTGTAGGCACTGACATTAAAAGACAAGATAAAAAACTGTTTTTATATGTGACAACTGCAGCAAGAGTATTATTGGCACAGAAATGGAGGCAGGAAAAACTACCAACAAAAGAGGAATAGCAGATGAAATTGACAGCCTACGCAGAATTGGATAAGATGACAGGGAGAATTCAAAACCAGCAGGACCAGAAATTCTTGAAAGATTGGAGTAAATATACATATATATCTGAAAGACAATTGTAACCAACTCACTATGTTTGTAGGACTACAAGAAGTTTTATAAGGAGAACTGTATGAAATATTGCAGAAAAGATTGATGAGAATGGATTTTAAGTTATGGATCATTAAAAGTAATAGTTAGGATAACAAATTTAAGATTAAAAGATGAGGTTTGAAAATCATTAGACGTGGTTGATGGAAGTCTCAGGCTAAAATAGCCAAAATGTTGTATAAGATGAGATGAGATGATATGTTCTGTTTTGAAAATATATGTAAAAACCAATAAAAATGTATATTTAAAAAAAGAAAGGTGAGTAAAAGCAGTAAAACATCAAATATACAAATTCTTAAATGAAAATGTTGCTTATTCACAACACAGAGCCAATCTAGATTATTGGTAAAACCTCTTGAGGCTAGTAAATTGCTCATTTCCTACATTGTGTGGCAGAAAATGAGCATATTTTTCATCACAGAAACCAATCACGTTTTCCCCCTCCTCCAAGGAAGCTCAGCAATTAGACTCTTAGTGATTAACCAGGAGACAGGAGTCACATTATGAGATTTAGGTAGGAGTCTCTGGTGGGTTTTCTTAGTGAAGTTAATAGACATAGGTGATTTGCCCACGAAACATGAGGATGAAACCTGCAAATTGAAGAGTATTAAAAAGTAGGATCTTTTAATGTTTTCTGGGGAAGGCCTTAAGAGTTGAATGTCACAAACACAAACAGAGAAACCCAGGGGAACTGTATATTTTCAAAATGAAGCAGCGAGTCTGAGAGCAGCAATGACAAGTGCATTTTAATACTAAGGAGGTAATGAATATTAGAGAAGTTTAAATATTTAAAGGGGGGCCTTTGAGAGATCTGCCAAAAGCTTTAAGCTCTATCTAGCACAGGGGCATCAAAATAAAAAATTAGGTAGCGCCAAACACTCCACCCAGTAATCACCAGGGGGCTACACCCACCATTTTTTCATCCCCTCCCCCAGAAGCAAGGAGGGATGGAGTTGCTATGCAAGCTTCCTGGAAGGTGGGTCACTTTTCCTTACCAGAGGCGGCATGGAAGTTGGTGCAGTGCAAACACACAAGCAGGAACACCAGTTTGGCTACACCATTGTATTCGCCCCACACCAACTTCATTCCTTCCCCCTCTGCCCCCCCCCCAACTTGGTGAGTTGCTTCTGCCCTCACTACAAAATCACTAGTTTTGATTTTGGAGATTTTTATTTTATGTTAGTTAGGGCTCTTCCACGTTCTGCTGCCCCCAAACTCTCAACCATCACTGCCCTTTTGTATGCTATGTCTCACACTATGCCCTTCAGCACTACCAGTGCTCTGGACCTTCAACAAGCTACGCAAACCATGTTCTAGAACAGGGTGGGGAGCCATTCTTCTGTTGGGGGCCACATTTCCTCAGAATAATGATGCTGAGGGCCACAGGACAGCAGATAATGGGGCTGAAGGGCAGGTCCAGAGCTAGGTTTCCTGGATAGCCACATTAGATGGTGTTCTAACAAAACAAAGGTATGCACATTTGCTATTTATTAAATTTATATCCTACCAATGGAGCCCAGGGAAACCAACAAGAAGTGATAAAATAATAATAATAATAATAATAATAATAATAATAATAATTCCAGTAGAGGTGCAGACTGGGAAAGATCTCAACTTAAAAGGCTTTTATCGGTTATGTCAATAAGCAAGACAATCCACAGCATCCTATGTAAAAAAATGGACCGCTTAACATCTGCATTTATGTTTTTCCGTCTTGTCCATTGTTCTTACCGATTATCATTTTATCCTTTTATATATTGCCATGTAAAATAGTTTTCATGGCCTCGTCATCTTTGTCTACTACTTGTAATTCAGTTTTGCTGAAGCGTTATTGTGAAGGATGCGCTGCGTGGGAACTGCTAACAAATTAGGCTTTTATGAGGAGCGGGATCTTGCGGGGGAGCAGTTATTGGATCCATTGTTACTTGGTGTCTTGCATTCACCAACCTTGCTTTGCAATAACTGTTACTGGCCCAAAAATGGCAAATGCCTTGTACCATTTCTTCGATTCTGCACCTAGCTAATATTCTTAAAAGTAAATTTATTTAAAAATAATAAAATGAAGGACTTCAGCGGGCACGGAAAAGACAACATACTAAAAGTCCAATTCAGCTGGCGTACTCCGGGGTAAATGGGGTTAGGCGTCACTCTGCGTTTTCGCCCTTTCCCGTCCATGGCTTTCTAAAAGCAAAGCCTGCACGTAGTACAAATCGAACGGCTCTAGTTTCGTGGGCCAACGCGCATGCGCAAACGAGCGATTCTCCTACTACCTCACATGATCTTCAACTGCCCCCCCCCGCGCCCGGTGGAGCGCAAACTTAAGATACGGCACGACGGAAGCGTCCGGAGAGCTGCGCGCACGCGCACTCCCCAGCGCCTCTTGTTCTTCTCTCGCCCTCGTTCCACCGGCTCCCTTTTGTGACGCTTTCGCACGCCATTGACCCAGCCCAGGCCCCGCCCACCCCTATAAAAGCCCGCGCGGGGGTGGGGCGCCATTGTGCTGCGGAGCAGGCCGCAGCCGCGAGTGTCCCGAGGCCTTTTCGTCCCGCCGGCGCCCGATCTTGCTTTTCGGCTCTCACGCCTTCTTCCCTCTCTTTCCCCCTTTTTTTTCTCCCTTTCTAGGTCGCGGGAGATGCCGCGCGTCTATATCGGCCGCCTGAGCTACCATGTGCGGGAAAAGGACCTGCAGCGCTTCTTCAGCGGCTACGGCCGCTTGCTCGAGGTCGACTTGAAAAACGGGTGAGGCGGCGGGCGCGGGAGGGTTTCTTCCTCGAGTAAGGCGGGAAGGGAGGGAGCGAGGCGCGGAGGGTGGTGGGGGGCTTGGGGCGCCGCTTCTTCCCCCTCCCCTCATGCCGCGTGGCGTCGCGTTCAAAATGGCGGCAGCCCCCATTGTCCCGTCAGCGGAGGGAACGAGTGAAGCGGAGAGGGAGAACGGAATGGCCCTCCTTTGACAGCGGCGCCTCAGGGACTCACGACCAGGCCGGGCCCGTTGTTGTTCGCGCGTGCCTGACGCCGACGTGCTATGCCTATAAGAATGCCTGTAAATAGACACGGGGACGCGCCTATAGGGTAACTTTCCCGTCTCTCCCCCAGGTATGGGTTTGTGGAATTCGAGGATTCCCGGGACGCGGAGGACGCCGTTTACGAGCTGAACGGCAAGGACCTGTGCGGGGAGCGGGTGATCGTGGAGCACGCCCGCGGCCCCCGCCGGGACAGGGACGGCTACAGCTACAGCAGCCGCAGTGAGTGTTGCTCCGCCGCGGCCTACTTCGGGCAGGCGCGCGGAGGCGGGAAGGGAGGACGCGGGAGGGAGGGATCAGGCGGGAGGGAGGTTAGAAGGGGGGGGGTTGGTCGGACTGGCCCCTCGGGATGTGGGGAAAGCGGAGGGAGGGGACACGGCGGGGCTTGGGGAGGAGGGATCGTAGGCCCCTGGTTGGGGGTGGGTGGATTGGGCAGGGTTATTAGGAGGGGCTTTACTGCACTTCTTCCCCTTTGGGTGCCTAGCCTAGGGAGTTTTCTGGTGGGGGTTAGGCACCCGCAGTGCCAAGCTGCACTCAAAAAGTTTAGGATCCTTATTTATTAGGCGGGGGTTTCTCAGAGGGGGGGGGCGTTTGTGGGGGTGGGTTGTATTAAGAACTCACTGCTCTTAATCAGAATGCATTCCGTGCAGATATTGTATAGCAAATACTGCAATTCGGAGAAAGTTTGTGCTGTGGAGGAGCTAATCTAAAACCGGCACAGCCGTCTTTAAGAAGTATTGTCTTCAGAAGCACTTTGCTTCATGTTCCCAAGCATAAGTAACTGTTGGGACTTTTGAGGGTGGCGATGGCTGACTTTCTCAGAAACGGATTATTTCGAATTGGAAATAAAATGACTACGTGCTGATGCAAAGCCCATTTTGTTTAGCTTTTCCTGGAAAGGATCTGGGACGTGTCAGACTTATTTATATAATGGTTAAGAGCAGTAAGGCAGTCAAATATCTTTGCTAATGGGTTGTTGCTGGTGGGGGTGGGATTTCTTGCAAATATGTATGTTTGTTTTTAAAATTGTTGCATGTTCAATTCAAACTTTTTAACAAGTCCTTGATGTTTCAATTTAAAAGTGACCAGTGGGGCTGAGGCTGTGTCCACTGAGGCTAAGATGACTGCCTTTCCTGATTGGCCATGGCTTTTCCATACATTGTGTGACCCTTGCCCTATGACCCTTTGGCTGACCTTACCGGAAGCCATGACGACAGCAGCCTTTTGCCATTAGACGCAGGGTGATGGTGAGGATTCCAAGGGTTAGACAAAACTGGTTAAACTGAACTAGGTGACTGTTACCTTGCGTGTGTTGTGGCCAAACCACCACCAAATACCTCATACTGTGATGTAAGTACTTAGTGTAATCTAGTAATCGTTTTTGTAAAATGTAGAAATGCATGTAATCAGTTAAGTTTTATATTTTACAATGTTCTGTAAAATAAAACTTAGCAAGGTAAATCTAATAAGGAGCAGTCACTCTCTAACAGAGTTTAGGAGCAGTCTTGTAGGATTTTAGTCTTTGATTTGCCCTTAATATATAAAATGTGGCGAATTAAAAATTTTGTTGCAGGATTAGAAAGATAAAGTCCTACTCCTGTAAATGCAATTTGTGAACTAAAGTAAACTAACTTTTCATTGCTTTTATACAAGGTTGCTAACTTTGTATCTTTGTATGATAAAGGTGGAGGAGGATATAGCAGTAGAAGAGCATCAGGAAGAGATAAATATGGACCACCTGTTCGCACAGAATACAGATTAATTGTTGAAAACCTTTCCAGTCGCTGTAGTTGGCAGGATTTGAAAGTACGTTGACACAATAATCTTTTCTTTTTCTTTTTTAAAGCAAGTTATCAAACAGCTCTTTGAATCCCATAAACTTTGAAGAATGCCAGTTCACTTTGAAAAGTATGTGTATTGAGTTTGCTGAACTTGCTGAGATTTTTTTTCCTGAAGCTGGTGTAGTGCCCTTCCTATGTTTGTGGAGAGACTTAATACTTCAATTTTCTCTTTCAGGATTTTATGAGGCAAGCTGGTGAGGTAACCTATGCGGATGCTCACAAAGAACGCACAAATGAAGGAGTAATTGAATTCCGTTCTTACTCTGACATGAAGCGTGCTCTGGACAAATTGGATGGTACAGAGATAAATGGACGAAAGATCAGGCTGGTTGAAGACAAGCCACGGTCAAGCCATAGACGATCTTATTCTGGCAGTAGATCAAGGTATCTTTGGTGCTGATGTGGTTTGTAAGATTTTCTGTGTATGACTTAAATCCGGAAATGGGGATATGCAGCAGTTATTTCCCTGAATAGAGAAGAATACACCTTGCAGTGCTGGGCAACAGGGCTCCCCACTTCAGATGTTATACTAAAGTTAGCTGGCTGTACTAATATGTGCACAAGAATATAAATTTGTGGGAACTTCAGGACATATTGAACTCTGGATTGGGACTTCTGTATGTGCAATTAAATTCCGCTTTTGTCCCCAGCACATCCTTCTCAGCAGATTGGGGGGGGGGGGGAGAGAGAAGAAAAAGAAGTCCTGTTGTGCCAGTGGTGCATGGTGCCCAAATAGCTGCTGTGTTTCTTTTTTAGGTCCCGTTCCAGAAGGAGATCACGTAGTAGAAGTCGTAGGAGCAGCCGCAGTAGATCCCGTAGTGCCTCAAAAAGCCGATCTCGGTGAGAATTTGAATTTATCTGTCTGTCTTGCCAACAATGCATTAGGAGGTGTGTCCGATAGAAATATTCTCCTAGCTTAAGTGCTCACACTGTGCATTGGTATTTAAATTTACTATGCATCCAAACAAATGGGCTTCTGTGTGTAGACTTGGAATAAGTAAATAACTTTCGTTCTTTTGAAAAGCTCTAAATCTAGGTCTCGAAGCAAAGATCGTTCACGGTCCAGATCGAAAAGTAGAAAGTCGAGATCAAAGAGCAAGTCTAAGGTGAAATCTGACAGGGGTTCACAATCCCGCAGCAGATCCAAAGAGAAGTCTGAGAAGTCTCGCAGCAGATCCAGGTCTGTGTCTCGATCGCCAAAAGAAAATGGTAAAGGAGAAGCAAAGTCTAAATCAAGGTCAAGGAGCAGATCTCGTTCCAATTCGCCAATGCAGGATGAACCAGCAAAGGCACGGTCAGAATCCCCACCCAAGAGGAATGAATCGCGATCCCGGTCACGATCACATTCAAAATCCCGCTCACGTTCACGATCCAGTTCACAAGATTAATGCTGGAACTCATTTCCCTTTTCACATGATTATGGAACATTTGTATTCCAGGCCAGAGGTCTTTTTTATGTTAGTATTGGCGAAGTTGGCCTGCTTAGTTGCAGAAAGAAGCAGTCTGAAAACCACATAAGCGAGGCGCAAAAGTTTGAAATATCTAAAACTGTTTATGAAAGTGGCAAAGAGCAGGAAAAGATTATCTTTTTGTAGAAATTAGGGCAAATCCTTGATTATTATTTTTTAATAGTGCCCCATCGGAAATCTGGGGAGTGGAAAATGAGTTTTATATAAAATCTTTTGAGTGCAGAAGGTTTTTGGAAAGGTTAACTATTCGTAAATGTTTCCGTTATTTAAAATTACTGGAATTAATAGGCTATGGCTTGCTTCTAAAAGTGCATGAGAGCCTTAGTGAACAGGTCAGAGGTGCTTATAAAGCTGATAAGCCAACTATGAGTTTGAATTGGAACACTTCTTCTGTGTTGTACCCAAACTTGCCAGAAGTTACTTCTTTGCTCCTTTGTCACCATCTTGAGGCAGTATTGACAACGTAATAAAGATGATCCTCTCTAACTTTGCATGCTGCAGTTTTGCCTAACAAAATAAAGCTAACATCAAGTGAAATTCAAGGTACCACATTACTTTTTAGTTGCCAAGTTCTTTGGTTGGTTGTTTTGTTGTTGTCTTAACTGCTGCCACATTCTGCATCTCAGTTATAAGAGGTTGCTAACTTCCCATGAAATTGATGGCACTTGATGAAACTTCTTGTACTGAACTTAAGTTCTAGTGTTAATGGGTAGTCAAGAACTAGATTTCCCATTATGATTTGTGCAGCTGGATTAGAAATAAAATCAGTTCCCCTAATGTTTGTAGCAAACCAGTTAGCAACAATAACAGAATATTAGCACAGCCGTGTAACCTTTATACAATGTGTAGTTTGACTTGTATAAAATTAAATCATTGACTCCAGTGTTTGTAGCATAGCTTTATTTGCTAGATGATGTTATAGAGTAGTCTAACCTTAGCTTTGGTATGCGAGTAAAGGAAATTGGAAATGGCCTGTGATGTTGGTCTATTGCAAATGTTATCACAAATGATTTAATACTATTTGAAATGGGAAACTGATTCCTCTTTTTACTTAGATTGTTTATCAAACTTTATGCTTTTTTTGGGTAAACTCATAACAATGTCTACTCTTTAGCTGCCATTTAGCAGCAATCCAAGCCCTGAAAACTGAAATAGTTCAGGTTAGTACAAGTTTCACTAGCCCCACAGCTCCCCTGATGATGCTTAACAATCATGCAAGACACTGGTCAGCCCCTCCTCTTTACTTCAGCTCTAGTGATAAGCCGATACATTTTCAGGGACCTTATTCTCTAGAATCATTTGTATTTTTCTGACCTATAATGAGAGCTCCATAAGGTTGTTTTTCTTTGGGCTTATGAAGTTATTTTGTATTTTGCGGGGAATAAGCATGTTCAGAGGTGGTGTACATGGCCAAAGAATACAATACATCAAAAATGCAGCCCTAAAATTAGAAACTGAAGCAATGCAGCATACCATTTGGGTGGCATAACAAAATACCTGTTGAAATACGGTATTCAGCATAAGCTTCAAGCAGGAAAAAAGGGGCCAATTAGGCCATAAGCTAGAATTTAATTGTCCCTTCTCTTGAATTAATGCAGGAGAAGGTCTTAATAGCCCTGATAATTCAGTTGGTCTAGAATGCTGCACCCAGAGGTAGGTGTGTGGCTAGGACTCCAGATTATTCTTTGCCAGTTTTTATAGGTTCAGTTTAAGGTGCCAGTTGCAGACCATGACTGAAATTGTTCAGAATATATAGGCATTTAACTAGTGTGGATCATTGTTCAACAACTTTGTTAGGATTGTCACATAGGAAACCTTACTTGCTGAAAAGCAAAACTGGGTACATAACAGCAAATAGATTCAAGCAGTTTATATGTATTTTGCCAGGACATCTGAATGTTTTCAGTCGGAGGAATTACTTTCTGATCAGCACCTGTAAGGAAATAACCCTTATCATAGCTACAGATATCTTTACAACTGCCATAGGTTCATAGTTGTGAAGTCTTAAAATGTGAGTTGCAATAAAAGCTTGCATTGGCGAAGCTCTCATCTGTTCACCTCCAGTGCAAAAAAGCCATATAAAATATTTTTTCCCCCGCAGCTTGCTACCTGTGTTCATCCTAATTTTACTTTGCTGGGGTTGGAGCAAAGCATGGCTGTCACTGAAAGACTTCATACACTTTTAAACAAATCAGGCAACATCTGAATATATCACAGTTAAAACTCGAATTTCATATAATATTCACCATTTCATTAAACTTCTATCACATTCTCACAGAGAATCTAGGAAATTGCAGGCTTTTCAGCATAAAGTCTGTCAGGTAATTGGTGGAATTAAGGGGCCATGTTTGAGGGCTAAGCCCTCCTGACTATTGAAACAAATTTTTAAATACAAACAAAACAGTTTTTTTAAAAAAAAATCCGCAGTTGATTAAAATCCAGATTACAATATTATGAATGCAATCCAGATTTAAGCAAATAAATTTTTAAGGGCTGCTTGAAAACTAGCAAAAACAGCCCTGCATGCTCCTTTTAAGAGAGTTTCAAAGAAGGTGACCTACTGAGAAGGGCCTGTGGCTGCCAGTCTGATGAATCTTGAGGCAGGCTTTGGAAGTAAAACAACCTGAAGGCATCAGCAGGTCCATATGGGTGCGGATGCAGCATTTAAAATTACATGTTCCTATTTCATTTAGGGAAAAGTGAATGGCAGTACTACTACATCCTACTTAAAATGTTTTTCCCTACTCATTAACCAAGATGGCTTACAGGTGACTTAGTTCCACCCCCTCCCTTTCTAAATACTATTTAAAGGCAAACCCATTCTGATCACGTTATAAAAGGGTAAAGGGGACCCCTGACCATTAGGTCCAGTCGTGGCCAACTCGGGTTGCGGCGCTCATCTCACTTTATTGGCCGAGGGAGCCGGCATGCAGCTTCCGGGTCGTGGCCAGCATGACTAAGCCGCTTCTGGCAAACCAGAGCAGCGCTCACATTAAAGCAGTCTAGTATTGATACAACCTGGGCATGTGTTAATGAAAACAAGGCCATGTTCTGTTGATAGGCTTGAGTCTGACACATTTGTGAATTTGTCTAACCCTCTCTTAAAGCTGTGCAAGGTGGCCATCACCACTTGGGGAACAATTGCCATAGTTGGTTATGTGAAGGATTGCCTTTTGTCTCGATTGAATTTTCTAACTTTCGGCTTTATTGGTGGCTCAGGGTTCTAGTATTATGGGAGCTATACTAGAACTATATATCAGAATAAAACTGCTTATGCTGCCTCAGATAATTTCCCAGTACCTTGGAAGATCACAAGCAGGACATGATTAGGCTCATTGCTCCACACCACGAAACCTCTGAATATGGGGGGGTGAATTTTGCTGTTGTGGCTAATAGCCAGTGATTGGCCTAATGATCATACAATTTGTACAGACTGTCTAAAAATCCAGAACAGGCAATCACCACCTCTTGTGAATGCTGCATATTTTGGACACGCTTTGCATGAAACACTGCCAGTAGTCTTCAACCTTTAACCCAAACATACATTTGGAGACCCATTTCTTAATGCCGCTGTCCCATGACCTGGTTGGGTTCAAACCAACAAAAGAAGACCAATGTGCTAAATGGGTGGGGGAATCTCAGCCAGAGGACCAGATCCTTATCTGTCTACTTTGTCAATGTTGCACCTGTACAATGTGAGCTAATGGATTGCTTTAGAGTAGTGAAGGGCTATGGGAGCTCAGCAGATAAAAAGGTGAAACCCACAGATAACTTGCTATAATCAATTCCAGTAGTCTTCTGTTCTACCTCATAGTTGCTGGTCTTTGGAGTGAGTCATGGTTCCATGTTGTCCCTCATGCTTTTTAACATCTACAAGAAACTACTGGGGGAAGTTTTCTAAATCAGCAGTATTCAATAGTTTCCCACCTGAGGCCCAGCTTTAAGCCAAACATTCATTTGGGGATCCATTTCTTTTTTACCCTATAGTTGCATTGTTGCTGTTGCCACCCATCTTAGATGGTAATACCATCTCTAACCTGGTATTGGGTCCTCCAAGTTGAATACCAGTTTCCTAGAGGCTTGGTATAAAGTGTGAACTTGATGATAGTGACACACAACTCTACCTCTTACCCTTCTAGTCCCATGGAAACCCTGGTCAGGTGGCTGCTGGTGGTTTTAGAATGGATGAGGGCAAGCTTACTAATGCTTAGTTAAGATGGGGCAGTACTGTGGGTTGCATCTAAATCTACATCAAAGTTTCCATGTACGGTAGGTTATTTGACCTGCATTGATTTCATTACAGCATTCAATATGCAAAGCAGGTGGACAGCATCCATCCGTAACCTGCTTATTTGGATGTACATCAATTTGCTTCTATTTTCTCATCAAGTGAGTGATACAAACACACCTTCTTTGCATTGGTTCTGTTTACTTGGGTGAAGGCTGTTCAGCTGTGCAGCATCTTTTGAACTGAGAATTGCCCAGCTCACAGGTTTGAAGGTCTCCCTAAGTTTGGAACTAGTTCTGCAGATGGCTGCAGCCTTTGCTGTTCGACCTAGGAAGTGCCTCTTGTGAGGTGAAAGGCAGGATTGGCATCCATCCAGTCCTCGCAATGGCTTCACGGTTGGAAGAGAGCTGATCGGAAACTGGATCTTACTGGTCTTAGTCTGCTAACCCAGTTTTCCAATCCTGGTTTCTTCCAGATGTTTTGGACAACTCATCTCAAGGAGGAGTTATAGTCCAAAACATCTGGAGGGCACCAGGTTGCAGAAGGTTTAATCACTGTATCACATTGGCTGTGTGCATATACATTCCTCACTTCTGATAGTTTTCAGGGTCTATCTCAGAATCCAGTACTTCCGCAGAACATGGGGATTCACAGTTTTTCTTCTCTTCCTTGGCCCCTTCTGGCACACAGGGATCTCCACATGCAGCATGAATGGTCCCACTCTACAAATGGGAGACTAATACTTGGAAACCCCTCCCCCCATTGCTTTCACATCTCTGAAGAACAGTTGTGATTGAGCTGGCATCGCATCCAGCACATGTAATTACTGCTTGCTTTATAAATCAAAGAGGAATGGATAAAAGCATAGCAATTTGGCTTGCCATTAAGAACAGAATTCAGGAACGCTTAATAAGGATGCCCTTGAGGCTGGATTGTTATATCAATGTAAAGTTAATAAAATGGTATTCAGAATTAAAATAACAAATTGACTAATGCAGAAAGTCAACATTTCTGCATTACGACCCATGGTGTTACTCTCTCTTTCTTGAGAGACAAGCGGATCTATGGTTCAGAATTAGAAATCTTTTTAATTAGCAGTCTTCAAAACTCTTCAGAGTGCATTGGAGGGGATTCTGTTTCAGGCTTTGTAAACTTTAGGATCAGTCCACGAACTGTCCTAGCCAGGAAGTGTGAGGCTTGGTGTCCTGTGTGCCTATTTGGAAAACCAAGGAATAGCCTGTCTTTCTCCAGCGGTGAAAGAAGCTCAGTGCTGGAGTGAGGAGAGAGCTGCATTGCATTGCCTTGCCTTGCATTGCCTTGTATTGCCCCATGCTTCTCAGCATCGCTTTCCACACCACACCAACTCAGTCTTCCCCCATACTCGCCCGGCTATCTTTATAAGCAGCTGTCCTTCCTTTCCTCTGGCAGCAGTGAGCTCTGCCTGATTGTGGGAGGTCAGCGACTGCCAGTGTAAATGAGGCACTGCTGCATTAACAAGATAGCTGCAGCTGGCGAAGGGAATGGGCTGGTGTAGGACTGCCATCCCCTCCCCGTTCCTTCACTCACAGGGACACACAATGGCACACTGGTCCCAGGAGATGCGGTGGCGGCAGCAATGGCTATTTCTGAAGACTGGCGAAGAGGAAGAAGTACACACCCCTCTTCAAAACCCAACACATGCACGTCAACTGAGTAACACAGTTTTTAGGAAATGTCTAAAAGAAGACATGAATGGTTCCTGTGGAATCTCCACAGGCAGTTCCACAGGATGGTACCTGCAACAGGGATCAGTTTCTAACGGGCCAATAAACCTTCAGGGGTGTGAGGAACCACAAGTCATCAGAGGATCTCCGTGATCAAGACAGATGGTCCTGAAGGTGCTTTGCAACAATGTTCATGCAGGAACCTTGAACCTGGCTTAGCAAATTGAATACACTTGCTGTTTTTTAACAATTCAATCTTGAATTGTCATCCAAGCTTAGACATTTGAACCTTGGCTGCAGCAAATCTTAAAATATTTTGATTCATCGACCAAACTGAAATCCGCCAAGCTGAATTCAGTGCATGAGCTCATGCAACTGAATGTCCCCTTCCTCTCCTTCCCCTTGCAGCCCTTTGTAACATCTGCCAATGTCTGCTCTGGAAGATTGGGGCGGCAGGCCAGGAGTTGCAGAAGGAGGAAAGGAAGGAAGGAAGTCTTGTTTGCTCAATGTTGGTTTCCATCCTATGGTTGGTGTCACCAGCATTGGCAGACCTTGGGGTTCTCACAGTTCAGCAGTGCTCCATGCAACACAATGATAGACAATTACACCCACACACTGAGTAGTTGTAAGGAAGATGGCAAGCAGATAACACTGGCAAAGGGTTGGGCAGCTCCCCGTTTGCTCCATTTGCCCTAATGGGCCAGCCTACACTGCATTTGGTGCTGTTTTAATACTGTGGTTGCACTTTAGGCAATTGATTTAGGCAAGGCACAGATACCCCCCCCCCCACACACACACACATTTTATTTATTAATGTTATGTCTCACTCTTAAAGGAGCCCAGGGTGGCACACAGATATCCTAACTGATGTGCTCTTTAATACAAGTTAATTAAATAAATATCCAGTTGTGC